GAAGAGGAGGATGGAGGGGTTGTAGAGAGCTGGCGAATACTGCGGGATGATCTGGGCAAATTGATGAAACTTGGTACTAGGAAATCGTAGAGAGGTGATTGAGTTGTGAGAAGTGATCGAGCAGAACGATTTGAAAGTCTATATGTATTCATTTTGGTGTTTGGAGTTTGCGCAAATCGTCTATCAGTCTAATACAGCAATGGTAATGATAAAATATATAAAATGATCTCAGAAATATTTCCATCCCTCATTTCCATGACGCCTAGAACACCGGAGCTTCGGTGATTCACTAGTGCGATGATATGCCTTATCATTACGTTATCGCAATGATGACTAAGCGATTCGCGCTAGATACACGCTAATGTCCTACCAAGGAGAGCCGGCTGAATTGTTCTACTGTAATGTTCTCATGTTCCCAAAAGATATAAATTCCCCAATTCACTTTATTTCAAACATACGCCTCAGTTATTCAAACATTATTTCGGAAGAAACTATAGATTTTCTTTTTCTGTCAGTCTCTCACATACATCTACTACTTACGATTCAACGACTTATAACCTTTTACTTGACGATATTTGGATAAACTATAAATTACGCACTTTCGGTCGTATCTCATCACAACCACCCTTTTACTTCTACAACATACGATCCCAGGGTCTTTGATCTACAATCGCAATCTCGACATATACCGAAACTCGCTACATTTGAGATTTCACAATGGCGGATATTGATGATGAACTCCTCGCTCTTGCTGGAGATGATTCTTCAGGAGATGAGCAGGTCGCTTCAAATGACGGAAGGCACAGTTCTTCATCACCCGATCGCAATGGGAATATAAAGAGTTCAGCTAAGAAGGGAGGAAAGAAGGGAGATAGAAGAAATGATGATTCTGAAGAAGAAGGTGAAGCGTAAGTGTTCTTTTACCGTGGTTATCCATCTGATATTACATTACTTCCCGTCGCAAATTCACAAAAATTGATATCGCGAGATATCCTTACAGCGGTCATATATAGCCATGTATTATACTAATGTGATTAACAACAGTTCTTCTGGTGACGAATCCGTTCGTTCAGAACGATCAGCCCCAATGGATGAATCTGATTCCGATTCTGATGGCCCAGGTTTCCGCGACGATGCTGATCGTTATCCTCTCGAAGGTCGATTCATGAACGCTTCTGATAAAGCAACTATCATGTCTATGCCTGAAATCGAACGTGAACAGGTCTTGGCTGATCGTGCACAAGAAATCGAGAGGGATCGACAAAACAGAGTACTTCGTCAACTTTTGAATGGTCGTGATGCCGCGGACAAGAAAGCAGAGAAAAAGCGCAAGGCAGGTACTGCAGATTTGGACGACAATCAGCGCAAGACATCTCGCCAACGTACCAAACTGGGTGGTGGAAAAGTTGGAGAAGCTAGTACTGGAATCGACAGTCTTAAGCGCGCAAGAGCTGAGAAGAATGATCGTCAACGTCGCCGTGAAGAAGACAAGGAGCGCCGTGGAGGTGATAGTCGCAGAGATAATCGCGATGATTATTCAGATGATGGATCTGATGAAGATAGCGAGGTTGAGTGGACAGCGTCAAAGTCAAAGAAGAGATCTGCATCTCCAGATTACCGTGATGCAGAGCCAGCAGTTCTATACGATCTTGAACGAGTTCGAGTTGGCAGAAGTAGATTTGCCATGGTCTGCTTTTATCCTGGCTTTGATGATGCTATTACTGGATGCTTCGTTCGGGTAAATATTGGTGTTGATAAGGAGACAAATCAGAATCTTTACCGCATGGGGCTCGTCAAAGGTTAATGCATTGGAATTATTCTTGTATTAGCCCAAGCTAACTTAATTTAGGCTTCAAAGAAGATAGACCATATGCTTTGATGTCTGCTAATGGGAAGCAATTCTCAACAACACAATATGTGATCGCTGCACACGGCAAATCTGAAAGATCATGGCCATTCATTGCTTGCTCAGATTCTCGATTTACAGAGGCAGAATGGCAAAGATATAAGCAAAATTGTATCGCAGATGGCATACCTGTTCCAACAAAGCCAAAGTTGATGCAAAAGTGTGCAGAAATCAATGCACTCGTTAATCGACCTTGGACCGAAGAGGAGTTGCAAACAAAGTTGAAGAAGTCAAGCGTTTTGACCGAAAAATGGAACACAGCAGAACGCGCGCGTCTTAACAACGCTATTAAGGAGCAGAAGAGCCTTGGAAATACCGAACTGGAAGAGAAATATCGTTCGGAGCTCGAGGCACTTGAAAGTGCTAAATTAGCTTATGGCACTACACTTAAGCCCACGCCAAAGAAGAAAACCGTCCACTCCCAACAAGATCGACTTGCTGAACTCAACCGAACCAACCGTCGTAAGAATATCGAGGAAGTACGCCAAGCACAAATTAATGAACGTCGTGCAGCACGATTAGCTGAAGCAGCAATTGCTCGCGGAGAAATTGTTGATGAAGATCACTCACGTCGTGTCAAGACTAGAGCTACTTTCAAACATGATCATACTGGTGGAAAGGACAGTGCAACAGCGACTCCAGTCAGTGGAACTTCGACCAACAATACTCCCAAATTAGTGGCTAAGAAGGATGCATTGCCGGTACCAGATTTCAGTAGGCTGCAGACGACTACAAAGGGAGGAGTTCCAGGGTTCAGGAGACCCCTTATGGATGATGATATTATTGCTAGTATTGATATTGGGATTAGTGATGATTTGGAGTTGTAGGGGAATCGTTGCTCGGTACATGGGATGGAGCAGGGTGAGAGTTGATGAGCCATGCACACGCACTCTTATCAAAGAGTTGCTACTAGTAGGAATATAATTGTATTTACATATTGGGGAAAGATCAGGATCTCGAAAAGGAAATATGTTATGGTATGAATGGGTGCAGGCGGGTTACTACGGTATGGATATGCAGAAATTAACGCTTGAAGGTTATTATCTGTGGGATTTTTTTTTTCAACAGCGAGCGTGAGCTGCCTCCTCGGTTAGTTATTTCCGATTTTAGCGGGATATAGTTGGTGATGAATGAATTTCGGTTTGAGGCGAGGAGACGAAATAAAGATGAAGAGATACAGAGGATGGAGAAATGCTTGGATGGGTGGAAATTGGTAGCGCAGTGGATGAAGGGGGCGTAGACCCGAAGATTAGAAAATGACTAGAGACATTCAACAGATTAGTGCTTCTGGACCCAGCCAGCATAAGGCGTAGGCCTAGCGAGTTAATGAATTCAAGGGGTATTGAAATGATAAATGCTTTTCTGGACTCAGTTTAATATGTAAATGTAGATGTGAGAATGATCAATTGATGTGCATGACAATAGACGTGGTTCGGTGGGTTCACATTTTATTTACTACTCCTGTCTCTGGAATGAAATAAGAAATGAGAGATAGATGTTTAGAACTGCGAAGTTCTATGCTTACCTAGAAATCCGGATCTCATCCCTTCTTCTTTCCTCCCCTTCCTCCCTCGCTTTCTGACCAACCAAAATCATGGTTACAAAGGAACAAAGGAAAAGTTCACCGGGAGTTGAGGTTCATCGATTTCATGTCATATCAAGTGTGTTGTATTGTACCATGTCAAGCGTGGTATTGTGTTGTGTGCAATGAACTTTATGTATACGCACCTTCCTAATCCGTCCCGGCGAGAAGGTCTTGAGTGTTGAGAAGTTGGGGGGCTTGGTGGTCAAGATGATGAATGATGAATGATGAATGATATCTAGGTAAAACGGTAAGAACAGTTATGGAAATGTAAATGAGAAGGTTATCGAGGTGTTGTTTGAGCCTTGAAGTTTGTGGAATTAGCTGGGGATGGGGATGGGGATGGGGAGAGATGAGTATTGAAGGAATTGGGATAAGGTTAGATGTGAGAATTGGAAAGCGGGAGTCGGGGTAAAGAATTGTATAGTATAGTGTGTGATACACGATGTATGATGTATGGTGGATGTATGATGTACTCGGTGACTGACTCAACCGGTAAGATTCTCAGACCGATAGACAGACATCAGCCCAGTTCGTTCGGTTGGCTACAGAATATTAGGTAGATATGTATGTATGTATGTATGTATGTATGTATGTATGTAGATATGTAAGCAAGTAAACATGTAAGTCAACATGTACACACAGCTCCGGAACCCGAACCCGCTTTCCGAGCCGTTATAATATAGTTTAGTTACAACTTACAAGCAGTGTCCACCCAGTCCACCTACATGAATCAAACCTGGTATATCAATCAATGGAATAGAGTTTAACTTTGATAGGTTTGAACTTTGATGTGAACCGGGAGTAGGCAGATGAGTGATATGGTGATGGTGAGTGGTGAGTAAATGCTTCACCGATAGTTGGAATGGGTGTACACACACACGGATACGCATATGGCTAGGATAGATACATGGGCTGGATATTTTTGGATTGGATCGGGTGTTCCTGCATGCGAATGCGTGGGACGGCGTGGGACCCCGGTGAGTGGATAGGGTAGATGTGTGCTGTGGGCTTTGGGTGGATGGGCATGAGATCATGCATGCAGACTGGTGTGGTAGGTCATCGTATTTCCAGATAGACGGATGGATGGATGGATGGGAAGGAAACTTAGAAGATTCGGTTAAGTACGAAGGAGATATGGAGATGGGTTAGGTAGGTAGGTAGGTAGATGTTTGTTTTGGGGATGGGATGTGATGTGGTTGTGGTTTTGATAGACAGACGGATAGACAGATTGGATGGGACTGGTTTTATATATTCTTATTCTTGCACTTTTTGTTTGTTTGTTTTGGATATATTTGTTTTACTTTACTTTGCTCTGCTCTGCTTTGCTTTTACTCTATCTACTTTATTCGCACAGTGCTAATACGGAGTGGTAAATGTTATATGTGTTATATATCTTCATCTGCTATCTATCTGGTTATTGATCAATTATCACACTTCGCATTTCCTTTCATACACACTCTATCCTCCGCATCTTCACAACGCATTTTACAATCACCTATCTAATATACAATGGCCATCACACACCCTCATCTCACAAATATAGCCAATTCCAACTCAACCCCTTATTCAAAACCCAACTATAATGATAAGGCCAACCACCCAATCACGCTTCTCCCCGTCACGAAAGCCGATCTCCCGCGTATAGCCCTCCTCGAACATCTCGCATTTGAAGAAGATGAATTCAGCGACTTGGCATTTGGGAAAGAGAGGGGAAGTCCCGAGGCCCTGAAGATGCGCGAGAGACAGTTTGAGAAGTTTCTCGATAAGGCGGAGAGGGGAGGAGAGGAAGAGGGGGGATGGTATTGTAAGGCTGTTTTGGGCTTGGAGAGTGGGGGGATGGAGGAGATTGTGGGGATTGCGGGGTGGAGTTTGGGGGGTGGGGAGGAGATGGGGAAGGGGGAGGAAAGGGGGAATGGAGAGGAGAAGGGGGCGATGGGTTCCCCGACGGAATTGAAAGAGGGGAAGATGAGGATCAAGACGCAAGAGGAGTTGGAGGAGATTTGGGGAAAGGGGAGTAATGTTCAATTGTGTGAGAATGTTTTTGTGAGGGGGGATGAGTATATGCTTGGGGCTTGTAGGGGAGAAAAGTGGCTGAGTATGTTTTATTCTTTTCTCTTTTCGTTTATATCATCTTCTTCCTTTCCTATCTATTGATCATCAACCCCCTCAGGTCACTAAACCCTCAACTTCTCTTCCCTGCTCTTCCCCTCCTTTCTCCTTCTCCTTCAATCCTCACTCCCAAGACCCTACTAACCCCTCCCCAGAACTCAATATCCTCGTCATCCACCCCTCCTACCAACGCCGCGGAATCGGCACGCTTCTTCTCGAACAAGGACTCAAATTTGCGGATGAGAAATCTCTGCAAGTAGTACTGGGTGCTAGTCCCTGGGGCATCGGTCTCTATCGCAAATATGGCTTTGTGGATGTGCATTGTATGGATATCCAATTGGATAGGTATGAAGGGGGTGAAGGGATGGGGAGCACGAGACATGTTATTATGAGACGGCCGCCGAGAGGGGGCGAATAGAGAATGGAGGGGACGGGAGTAAAAAGGAAGTCCAGGGCCTTTTTGATTTTATATTTAATAGTTTTGGGTTTTTTAATTTTGTTGCTAGATTGCTGCTAATTTATATGCGACTATTTGAATAGCTAGGCGAGACGTCTCCAAATAGTAGGCGAATAATTAATACCTAGACATTCATGTTTGATTATACACTTTCTTCGGCCAGAATATCATGCCATCTCATAACATATCGTATCACCTCATCATCCTAATACCTTCCACTCCACCCCAACACCCCATTTAACCCCATCGACCACAATCTCCCAAACCGGGCCCTTAATACCCACTATCCTCCCAACATCCACATCCATTCCCCTCTGCAACCCTATGCCCATTCCCTCACCAGCCAACATAACCTTAACTTCCCCCAAACTATCTATAGCCTCTTCTCCAATCACATCTCGCACCTGTCTACCCCTTACTAAACACATTTCCCTTCCATCCCTCCTCACCTCTTCTATCTTTATCCTCGTCACCCATTCTCCATTTCTCTCTTTCCCTTTCTGCACACCACCAATCCCAGAATCAATATTAATCAGCCAATCCCTCACTTCCGCCGCCAATCCCCCAGCTAAATATTGTCTCCCTTTTCGATGCGGAGAGAACTGTTCGGGCAAAGGATCTCCACTTCCCTGTGACTCCGCAGGATCAGGCGGACGAAATCGAGGCGGTTTGAGAAAAGTCGTCGGAGCAATACATTGAGGTGTAGATGGTACAGGAGTCGAGAGAAGAAATTTAGGTTTGCCGCCTGTGGATGAGATTTGAGTAGGACGATGAGAAATCGGCGAAGAAATTATAGGTAGAGAAGAAGATAATAAATCTTCATTTTCTTCCAGGGTGATATCTGGAGAAACAGAAATTCGTCGCCGTTTGGATGATCGGGGATTTATTTCATAGTCTTTTATGTCTACATCTTCGTCTTCATCTTCGGTAGAATACCCAAGAGCGGTATCGAAATCATCGTTTGTATCTATAGAATCGTGAAGAGGAAGATGCGCGGGGTAATCATCTGAAGGATCATCGATATTCTCTTTCGCTTTTGTACTTTTTCGAGCGGGGGTTAAGTATCGTCCCGCGGGTGTGGATGATGGTATACCTGTACTTTGCGTAGCATTGGGTTTTGGAGTGGAGGAAAATGTAAAACGAGGAGTGGTATTGAATTGTTGCGTGTTTGATGGACGGGGAGTTGATTCTTGTGCGAGTTGCGATCGTGGAGGTGGATGGGGAGCTGAAGGGCCGGATTGTCTTTTAATCACGAATCGATGGGGGGATGGTGTCTGGTCAGTATGTTAGATTAGGTTTATATGTGCAAATATGAGGGTATATATATATATATTCGTAGAACATACAATTGGTGGAGGCATCTTTCTTCTTTTTCTTCATACATACATACATTTATGATATGGGGTAATAGATTAATTCCCATAATACTTCCAATCGTATACTTCGTACGAGTGTTTGATGGTAAAATAAATAAATTGTTCTCACGATCGATAACCTACCTACCTACCTACCTACTTTTACCCTCATGATGCGGAACATTTCCCGCCGCAAAATATTGATGTCATCATACATAGTCCATGATTCTAGCCCAGAGAGGTAGGTAGGTAGCTATTGAATTGAAGCTTAAGGAAATCCTTTCCCTCTGCTCTGTTTTTTGTTTTTGTCTTTTCGTTTCCTTTTTTCATGAAGAGGTAGAATTCCTATCTTCATTCTCTCATTCTCTCATTTCTCACCCACTTTTCTCGTTTCAAGAAGCTACTTTCAAAGTGCTTCCTGTGCTGTCTATCTTCTCTCAGTCTTGAGATCTCAATTATCTATAGATTCCTGTCTGCTTCACCTCACGCACAATCTTCAAAATGCCGAATCCTCCTTCAAAACTAGGAGGTAGCTCTTCAATCTTTCCTCTGCTAAGCAAGAAACATGAGATCGTCATGTTTTCCAGTACAGCAATTGCCCTCTATGGTTATGATCAAGGTATGTATCATTCCTCCTGAAGTACAACTAGGCTCCTCTCGTCATCATATCTAATGCAACCCAGGAATGATGTCCCTAATAAACACAAACAGCAGCTATTTGAAAACCATGCAAATTGGCGAAGAATCTCCTGTAGTAGGTATCATCGTCTCCGTCTATTACCTAGGATGTGCAATTGGAGCAGTTCTCGCCTCCTGGCTCGCCGACAAAGAGGGACGAAAACCATCTATATTTGCTTGTTTGGCAACAACATCGTTTGGGAACTTACTCATGTTTATTTCCGGGTTTTCATTTCATGGATCTTCGCCTTGGAAAGGTGCATCGTTGGGATGTATGATCGCTGGGAGAGTTATTATGGGATTGGGGGTCGGAGGGATAGATTCGACAATTCCGGTTTATAGTAGTGAACTTTCATCGGATGGAGCGAGAGGTAGAGCATTAGCTCAAGAGTTTCAGATGAATATCTTTGGTTTGTTGATGGCGTATTCGATTAACTTGGGAGTTACAATTGGTTTGGGGAAAGATAGTCAATGGGCTTGGAGAACTCCGATCATTGTTATGCAAATTTTCCCAATTCTGTTGATGTCTTTCATTTCTCAACTTCCGGAAACTCCAAGGGTATGTTGAGATTCTCTTGAACTCCAACAATCTTACAGAAAATGCTAATTGTTTATAGTGGTTCATGAGTGTAAACCGAGAAGATGATGCTAAGAAATCTCTTGAGAAAGTATACGGCAAAGAAGAAGCCAAGTCGAAATTCGAAACTCTCAAAGAATCTACTGCTCAAGAAGATGGTTCAAAAGTACAGTATAGAGATATGTTTACACAAGGACATGCACAATTTCATCCAACCATGATAACCATAATGGGTCAAATAAATCAGGCTCTCACTGGCTACGGCGCTGTATCCGGTAAGCATTCTCCATACCCAATTCTGTCAAACAGCTCATCTTCCTTCTCATGATGCACCTATTAACCCCAAACCCTAGTCTACGGCCCTCAAATCTTCTCTCTGCTCGGCTTCACTACCCGCAAATCCGAATATCTCACCCTCGGAAACTACATATTCTATTTCTTCATGATGACATTTGCCTGGCTCTCCATCGATGTCTACGGTCGTCGCACTCTCATGATATACGGCAGCATCGGCCTCTCCCTCTCTTTCCTCCTGCTAACCCTCTTTGGAGGCCTCGCCACCTTCCCAAGTATACCTTTCCTCGTGCCCGAAGTACTCGGCTCCGCAACTCTCTTCGCCGCAACCGCGATCTTCGGTATTGGCTGGCTCGCAACCGTCTGGTTGATCCCCACCGAAATCTATCCTTCCTCGGCTCGCGCGCAGGGTTCCGCCATCTCGGTTATCGTCTGGGGATTGGCCAATTTTGCGGTGACGTTGTTGACGCCGATTGGATTCAATAATTTGAAATATTGGCTGTTTCTAGTATTTGCGGGAACGAATATGTTTGCTGGGTGGTGGACGTGGAGATATTCGTTGGAGAGTGGAGGGAGGAGTTTCGAGGAGAATATGGAGTTTTTTGAGTGTGCGGAGAGGGATGAGAGTTGGGTGGTGAGGAAGGTGGATGGAGGGAAGTTTAGGAGAATGCCGGGGTCTGAGAAGGGGAAGGCGAAGGGGGGTGAGGAGGGAGGTGAGAGGGAACCTTTATTGAGGAGAGAGTAAGTAGGATTTAGATGTATGGAGATTGACATTGAGATGTAGATGTAGATGTAGATAGTGGGGTTGTGTGGAATGATGTATCAAAATTTCGACATTTGCAAATTTACCACGTGGGACAGAATTATAAAGAAACTTATAAATGTATAGAAGTAATGAAATTGATTAAATATTGTAAAGTTGACATCTTTCCTAGGTAGCCTATCTAAATCCACCTTCCTATGTCTCCATCTCGCAGTGATAATATTCTATATTATTCCAAACACCTCTTTCTACCATTCCTGTATATAAAAGCTTCACATTATAAAGTAACGCCATTCCCATATTAACCGGGACGTATAGATATATATACCGATGATCCATCCACCCAACCAGATGTTTTCCTCCTCTAAATACATCTCTCTCCCACCCTCACATTAATTACACCATCCATTACGCCATCTCCCATCTCCCATCTTCATCCAACCTCACCACGTAAACATCATCAACGCGGGATTCAAGGCAATGGGCATCAAAAAGTGACTCACGACCACGGTACACAGGGGGAAAATGGCGACAAAAGTATCGATTCTCCAATTCCAGGGCACGACGAGGGCGCAGACAATCATGCCGGCAGTCATGAGAATGCAGAAGAGGAAGGTGTATTTGAAGCGCTTGAGCAGACGCGGAATTTCTTCGAAGAAGGTGACGTTTTCCACTTCTTTGGCCGTGGCGCCCCAGGTCATGTCGATTTCGAAGAAATGGCAGAGGAGGGATTGGGAGACGTGCATGGAGAGTCCGCCCAGGAAGACGGTCATGAGGAGGAGCCATTTGAGATTTTCGAAGACTATTGTGGGAGGGGAGGTTAGTGGGCTGTGTGGGGGGAGAGATGGATAGGGGGGGAGAGGGGGGAAAACTTACAAGAAGAGAAGAATCCACGTTCGTTCAATCGGTATCGGAGAACGGCCAGCGAAACATTACCCAAGAGGGAAAAGACAATGATGAGCGAGAAGTACACCTGGAAGGAATCGAGATAGTATTTATCGTACATGCCCACATACCAACCCATGATGAAATAATTCGCGAGGGTCAGGATCCACGAGGCGCCAATTGCGTAGTAAGTACCGATATACGCCATCATTGTAATCTTGGATGTGAATCTCATATTGGATCTCAAAAATTCTCGGAACAATTTCGTGAACGGACCGCGCGTGATCCAGAAGCGGAGAGGATTGAAGAGAAGTTCATTACATCCATAAGCGTATTTTTCCCAACGCGCAAGCTCGTCGTAGACGGTGAGGGAAACTCCTTCTTTGAAGCCATCGCCAGTGTATGCGGCATAGCGGATGATGTATTCGTTGACTTGGAGACGGAGCGACATGTCGAAATCTTCTGAGACATGGGATTCGGACCAGAATTTCTCGTAGCCGTCTTCATCGTGGTAGGAGACCTGTTGAACGGCGGACCATCTGAGCATGGCGTTGTGGCCGACGAAGGGAGAAACATCACCCATGGCGACGGCAAAACGAATAGCGGTGTAGACGAGGTTGGTGAAAAAGGTAATGCTAGATGGAAATGATTAGTTTTGTTTACTTCATTGGCGAGATAGAGAAGACGATGACATACCCATTTTCGAAGAAACTATCAGTGACTTGCATAACACCAGAGTTGAATTGCAAGATACCGACTTCAGGAGATTGTTCCATCTCACTCGCAGCATCCAAGAGACAATCGGCGGGAACACGGGTATCGGAATCAATAAGTAAGATGTAATCACCCACACGAATATTACCACCAGCCCAGGCACGACCCTCTTCCTCTTCCAAAACTCGAGCTAAGCATTGATCATAAGCAATGTATTCCTCAGCCTGGGACCAACCATCATGACGCGCAATGGTGAGAAGTCTTTCTTCAACCTTGTTGGAAACCATGAGAGCGTAGTTCATGTTGGAAGCCTTCTTGAATTTACCACGACGAAGGAAAGCTTTTTCACCATTCTCAGGGTTGGGCTTGTGGCCAGGACGCGCGACCCATCCAATAGTATGTTCATCATAAAAGTCACGACGAGCTTGAGCTTCGTCTTCAGGAAGCAATTGCATACCATCATCATTGATGAAGATGTTGGCAGTTCCACCTTGAAGTTCATAGGTAGAGATAGCAGCCTTGAGAGAAATGATGGTAGGTTGAATAACACCAACGAGACCTTCCTTGTAGACAGGCATCTGGATAGTGACGTGAGGAAGTTCTCTGTTATTTCGGTTGAGACGTTGAGGAGCTTTTCCGGAGTAGAATTTCGAGTTACTGTTCAAGTTGTTGATTGGTCCAAAACACTGGGTCAAATTGACGATAATTACTTGCATGAAGAAAAGGGAAACGAAAATTTGACAAGGAACGACGGCGAGTAAAGCCAATCGAGTGTAATTTCCATCAACAGCGACTTCAAGTCCAAGTTTTCTCCAACCGAGACCGAGAGCGGTGACGAGAAGACACAAAGTTGCACCGACCATGAGAGGGTTAAGTAGTAGTGTTGGTCTTTTTTCTTGCGCCCCATAACCATCTTCGACGTCAGATCCGCTTCCCAAATCAGCGGTGGAAACATTTGCTCCACCCTTCTTTTCGTCGGTTTCTTCGTCGTCATCGGCCCAGATCATCTCCAGCAAAGATCTTTCTATGTACTCTGCTCTCTGCAACAAGTGCTTTGGGTCATCGTCCCAGACGATGAGAATTTGTTGGTCTTGGATGAAAGCACCAAAGTGATGCTTTTGGCATCGAGGTAGATACTCGACGGTAGGAAGAACTTGAAGACGGAGACCATCCGAAAGAGGAACATAATCAGCGTGCTGACGGGCGAGGAAGATTTTGATGACACGAGTATTGACAGTCATGGCAGCCTAAATATCGAATTAGAGAATGACTTTGGACAGAAAGGATGTGATTCACTTACTTTGACATTCATTGCTACAATGTAGTCAAAAATACCTGATGGTTCCGTCCTTAAAGAAGGCGGACAACATGTGAAATCACCCTTTGCCTTCTTCAAGATGACACCCTCTCCCGGAGCACCAACGGCCCATAGTTTTTCCATTTGCTGTTGATGTAACCAACTGACAACTACATCAGATCTGACAGTCAAGACACTCTCCCTGGGACCATTTCTGAAATCACCTTCTGGATATAGAGAGGATGGCCTCGAACGGTCGGCAAAGGATGGAGCCAGTGGTGAACCCAGAGGAGGGGTTGTATGCATTTCCAACTGCATTGGTGCTGATGTTCCAGTTTTCTTTGCTTTCTTCGCATCTTGCTCGGCCTTTTTCCCAGGAGCGAGATATCCCTTAAGGGCGTTCATCTTGGATAATAAAGAAGGAGATGCAGGCAAATGTGAGAATAGCACTTGTATGATTTATGATTAATAATAAAATAATAATTAATAAAGTTGAAGATTATGTGCAACGAGTGTTAGAATAAGGAAAGATAGCAACAGTAAGCCAAAAGAAAGATAGCTCTACTACTGATGAATAAAAAAAGATCAAGATAAAAGTATTTCTGACGATCGGGGTGAAGGGCAATATGTACTAAGGAGATACTGTGAAGAAAAAGCCATGTTCGTTAGCGCCACTGAGCACTGCGAAAACTTTACTAGTGAGGCTAACAATAGGTAGGCACTGGACGAACGACATCCATTCATGGTACCTACATTTATTCGGAACTAAGAGGAGCTGAGAAAAGTCCTAACCAAGTTACCAAATTTGGAGCTTTAGCAACTGCAAATTGTCAAAATCTGGAGCTCGAACAGGCCTGAGCGAGTAACAAACAAGATCATGCATTCAGCTCGCTGCTGACAGACTTGATTGGATCAATTTACCGTACGATTGCAAGCTTGGATAAGCCATGCGGGCAGTACGAGCAGTGAAATTGATAGGAGCCCCTCCTTCATGATGCTACAAAGAGTATCAAACGCCGAGTCCAAAACTAAAAAAATGTAGTTCAGAGCTACCCGGGTGTGACTGTCCCAAGCTTGGTTAGGATTCAGACGAAACTATTTTTGATGCTGTGCGTTCCCGGGACAGCTTTGACAATTAAAACATGAGGTAGACAGAATCGAGTAGGTTCGGTCTATTGGAAATGATGAAGCGATTGACACTAGACTGGGATGTCAGTTTGTGATTAGGCGAAAAGCCTCTGCCCCTGCAGGTAAACTTTTGAGCTAGACGCACTGTGGACTTGGCTTCTTTTTGGAAGATCTACAATGATCTCCACCGTTGTATAACATATTTGGAAATTCCGTTGTACGCTTGTTGTCTATGAGAACTACATGTGAGGACTTTAATTTTTTAGTCCTGGACTTTCTCAATCAAGCATTTCAAAATCATGATTACATGGTGACCATGTATATTGGAACAACTTACTATGACGCTCGTACATAAAATTACTCAATTAGCTCGAATCATATTTTGCGCGTACCTGCCTTAGTTGCCCACCCAAAAGATCATTACAAGGACTTGGCTTCGGATGGCTGCAGTAGTGCCTCTGAATTGGATTTGGTATAGGCATCGAGGAAATTGCATAGCGGCTCAAAAGTCAAATGGAAAGTTCTCCTACGATTGGCACTGTATGATGATGAATGATTAGATGTTCTAAACTGTCTGCTACTTACCTACTTCAACTGAATACCAAACCTGCGAGATCTCACGGAGGGCGAGTGGTATACATATTTCTAGCCCCATTGACTGACATACCAAGCCAAGGAACGATAACTAGCATTGATGCAGTGCTACATCAAGGCCATGTCAAATTATTACCAAATACCGGGGAAAAGTCAACCAAACTTAAACCATTGACAAGTTGATGACATCCAAGGCATGGCATTTTCAAGATTTCGAGATTCTCGAGTAGGTTGCATCTAGATTCAAGACTAGATAGTGAAAATTCGCCCACCAAATCTTAATTATCGAGGGTTATCCTAATATGTGTCAGCCTCTCTTATCTTATGTGCTAGGTGGGGGGTTCATCTCCATTTGATATATGGATTTTTACAGCAGCTCTCGATCGCCTGAAGTAATTCTTTATCAATTTCCAAAAGGCGGAATTGGGCTTAGCATATGATTTTTTGGAAATGCTAAACCGAATCCAGGTCCTTATCTCAGGGATCACGTTGAGAAGAACTCCTCACTCGGCACGCTAGGTGGTCCTCTAAAAACTTGATATCCGTGATGTAGATTGGAAAATCAGCTAGTTTGGAGATCAGACTTATTTTCCTAGTCTAAAGTTAAAGAGTTCCCACTTTTTCCTACAGGACATTTTGGGACAGTTTTCCCGATATCAATATCAAGACTCACCGTACTAGGTAGATAGGCTCGAGATAGGTAAAGTATATCTGGTTAAAAGAACCACTGCGTGCAAATGATCTTCAATTGTATTTGTGTTTCAGTAAGTTAGTTATCGTACACCCGTTGTCAAGTGATAGACAAGCCGATAAGAATTCGAAAAGTCCATGAGTGTTCATTCGAAGTACTCTTCAGTATGAACTCGGCAGACGCAGATGATCGAGGCATTGTTCAATTGAAATCCTGGCTTGGCTGGCTGGAACAATAAAGAACTATCAGCTATAGCGACATAAATCGCACATCATAATAAACTCCGATTGGTATCATCAATTGTACTTAACAAATCGTGATTGTATAACTCCGAGTACGAAAGAATGAGGAGACGAGACCCTTGAAGTCAAAGAGGTTAAAAATTCCAGTTGGATGTGTTTTGAGAGGTCTGTCTATCATTTCCATGGTATATACTACATCATGAAACGGACACGACATATTTCACCACGGTGCCTCAGGGTGCATGGACAATTTAATTTCGGAGATTTGTAGCTGGTTGGGTCCAAGCTCTTTTCGGGTAGATAATATTTGGGAAAACCATCTGAGGCCTCTGTTGAAGGGAAAAATAAAGAAGAAATAAAATAGATTTTTGGGATGAGGGAAGGAAGGGGCTGAAAGATCCTATTGCAATCGTTACAATTGTTCCTTGCTCGAATACTTGTCTCGGCGCCCAAGTACCGAAGAGAAAGGAGACATAGAAGTGGGAGAAAATCTGGAAGCTTGAGGTGACACGACCCTTGATTCAAAGGACGATGGAGTGATTACTCACTGTACTGCTCAGACTCTTTTTTTATCGTATTGATGCACGCCCCTGATTATCTAGTCTTTATTTTCTGGTGTCTCGGCAAGCATCCGTGGAGGTCAGCTCTGTCGGCTAATGTCAATGTTAAAAAGTGTACCACAGTGTTGGATCGTTTCTTCGCCTATGGAGTGTGGTTAAGAACAACTCACAGCATTAGCGTTGGATGAATATCCATTTCAGGTAATGTGGATATCAGGCAACGCTTTGAAAGCGGCCTTTCTTCTCCTTTTGGATGTTTTGTCCAGAGTTCAAAGAGCCCATTGTTTCCAAACGCTCGATAAATCCTGCCGCACCCGCCCGCCATCAACCGATTGATTCATTTTTGGCTCTATCTCCACACAGTACTGGTGAGTTATCATCTAATATCACCCAAAAACGTATCTGTGAGAAAAATCTGCATGGCATAATCTCCGTAGGCAGGCTTGATACAGAAAAATCATGGAATTCTGGTGTGTCGAGACCAGGGTATTGTTTTATTGTCTAGAGTCGTTTAGTACACTTGACATCCAATCTTTGTCTTACAGAACGTCTCTTGTAATTGTGCGTAGCTCGGGACCGATCCCCCGATGTTGTAAAGTGAAAGCTATATTTTGGGACCATAGGGATATGTTTCGACCTTTCGCTGAACGTTCCGTGCGGCAATTAGTACATTCAAGGAGTTGAGATAATAATAACTTGACGCATGAAGATCTTGATATTCAAAGGATGTTCGTAGGCGGTACCTAAAGAGGCAAACTGCGATGAAAATAGAAAATATCCTCCCTAGTGGCTAGCACATGGGTGGTTCCTGTATAGAAGGTTGGTTTCATAATTCTTGAGGATAGCGTGGTGAAATATCCTCAAAGGGTCTGCTGAAGCTGATTGTCTCAACAGCAATCGAGTCCTCACAACTATTAACATGAAACTCCGCCAGCTCTTGTTGCTACTAATATAAATTGTTTCCAAGGGGTTGGAAATTAGTCAGATCGTTCGACACCGTGAAAATTGGCTTAGAAAGCAAGGCAGATCAACAAAAGTTTTGACTCTGATGCATATTGACAAGTTCCTCTAAGCTCCAGGACCATATGAGCGTGCGCCTACTTTTGCCCATAAGGCTGGCCTGTTAAATCTAGCTTGTTCGTCACTAGTCTGAAAGCCCGGAGGTTCAAAAGTTGCTTGTGGCGATTTGATAATCTCGAATCCATGCCACAATGGCGCTGGATCACTACGGGATTTTCATAAAATTGTTGCTTCATTTTCTTACTTAAAGCCATCTTGTAGTCCCAGAGCCAAATCAGGCCGTATATAAATGCTTCTGCCTACATCGCCCATGTTGACAGTCTGCACTCAACATCGCTTGTGGTTGACCAAAACCATTCTGTCGAGGTGGAGCTGTCACTTGCGCTCTCACAAAGAAAAATAGTGAAATTGACAAATTGAGGTTCCGAGGCCCAAAATTTGGAAGAGTCCTTTTGAGGATGAAGATAGTGATTCCGCAGGGCTCAATGATCGATCCCGGATAACTCATATTTGTAAGACATATAGTAACCAGTGAATCTATGTTGAGATTCTACCCGTCAGTTATTTCTTTCTCCACGAGTAAAGGATTTTGATTCAACGTATGATAGCATTCGACACCTGGTCATTAATTTGTGAGTCATCGTATGGATAGCAACAGATTGGAGGCAATATTTGGTTGCCTAGCATCCTTGGCAAGACCTTAGATATGAGTGTGGTTGAAAGTCAAGATGAATCGAGGTAATAATTGCTGAGACAATTCAGTTGCCTGGGTTAATCTGGCAGCGATCTCCTTTTTGTCTTATTTATAGCAAAGATGTTGATTCTTGGAATTGCGATAACTCAAATTCCTCAGATCTCGGTTTACCGTGGTCATCAGAGACCAAAGCCGGTTGGAGCATCATCATCTTCCGGCTCACACGTCGGCATTCGAATTAAAAGCTGCAAGGAAATAGCATGACTGAGATGATGATATCAAGTACATGAGACCCCCCCCCCATTGCCGATTTAAACACATGATTGTAATTGTAACCATGGCAATCCGAGCCACATATCCTAACAAGCTGAAATTGCTTCTTGTAATTTCCGGTGGTGTACTTGTACTACTTTGTTCACATGGCGATGACAACATGGAATGTAACATCGGCTCGGTGACAGGCTTCTTCTACCTCAATATGACACCCGAGTTATTCGGTACGTATTGTAACTCGCTGAGCCATTCTATTTTGATCTCATCTTGATCCTTTGTATATAGTGCGAGGTGAGGCCGACAAGAAGATCGTAGACCAGGTGTTGCTCCTGAATTTCGAATAAGATCAGTATAGAAAGATTTGTAGCCCCAAGAAATTCCTCTTCTCTGAATATCGATGAAGGTTGAGAATAGGAGTCTAAATCATCTTCGAGGGGCAGTGCGCAAATCAATCTGCAAGCTGTGCAGTGCAGTCAGTATATGTGGAATGGGACGAATATGGTTCAAACTCATCACGATAGATTAGCGACATATTCAATATTTGAGGAGTAGTGATGTTGAATGTACCCATTGACTTTGTTCATACTCTGCTTTGTTGAGGTTGAGATGTTGTGTTGTATTGTATTGGAATACCTACCTAGGTAGCTATACGACAAGAGTAGCGGAAGCCGAACCCGGACGCCGCTATCACGACGTATCACGACGTATCACGACGTAGCCCCCACGAAGGTTGAACCCTTAACTCTTATAACCTAGGGCTGTCCAATGGGATAAGAGCTGGTCGACGATGATGGTAAGATGGGTGAGCGCCACAGAATCCACCATTTTCATTAACAGTATGCTATGATTGGCTCAATTGATAAGAGTACCGTCACTAATGCATCTGAGATGATAAATTTCATGTTGTGTTCATACTGCATCTGGGCGGCTTTAGAGGCGGTGAAGAACAAACAAGAGAATGACATCAAAGACAAACAAAAAAAATAAAAAAAGATCAGAAGAAACATTAGAAGTTGTTGTAAATGAATCAATTTTCAACATGACTCAACATATTTTGAGGATCTTCAAATTACTCTCATAGGTTGAGCAAGATTTGATGATTGAAAAGCATCGGTTGGGTGAAGAAAAAGTGCAGGCAAGATTGCAGGATTGTAGGATGTTTAGATGTTTGGTAGACATTACCAGATAGTCATTGAACATAAGATATTGAATTGAATGTTGTGGTTATCTTTAATTGGGATCGTGCGGCGGCACCGATAACGCTACCTACCTACCTACCTAGGTATCTAATAAAATCTACTAGGTATCTATCATATCGTACCCACGATACTTGTCTTGTAGTCAGTCAGCTACAGCCAGCCAGCGAGCCAGCGAGCCAGCAAGCCAGACAGCCAGCTATGATCAAACATTTCTGCTGACCTTTTGAAATCATTTTCGAACTCTCCACCATCATCCCAACACACCACGAATTTCATACACTTATCCTCTTTTTTTGTGGAGATAATAACAGTATACGAGTAATACTACCAGCCAGTATTCAATTTCTATCTCCTTAAAACCTACCAGATTCACATTCAACATTCAATTCTTCTTCCTCTCATCTATCTACGATTACGCTCTATCGTATATCTTTTCCAGAAACTACCTACAAACATCATCCCCCCCCCCCCACCTCTCACCCCACTGTCTGTACCCGGAATTTATAACTTCTTAAGACGTCACCGTTTCAAAAATTGTCCAGAGATATTACAAAATTGCAGAATTACAAACGCCCACCAAAGAACTATCCGACTATAGAATGACCTCGCCATTGCGAAAGCACCGTACTTCTAGTGTTTCCAGCGAAATCGATCCATTCGCTGCGGCACATGTTTACTACAGCAACGATACAAATCAGAAATCCTTTCGACAATTCCGAACCCGTACATACTCTTCAGTAAGCACGGCACTCCTCTCATTGACCTTCCAATCCCTCATCTAACCTCCTCGCAGAATCAAAGCACCTTCTCCGTACCCATCTCAGGATTAGAAAAGCCCAAGAGGCGAGGCAGTCATGGTTAGTTGCATGTATTCTGGTTCACAAAGTCTCATTGACTAATATACATATGTGCAGATGATATCGGAGATCATGGACGCAAATTCTTGATACAAGTTGACTCGACACTGGAAGCCCTCCGAAAACAGGAAGACACAGATGACAACCACCAAATTACAATTGAAGATGTAGGACCAAAGGTAAGATATTGCAGGCATTTTATTCACCCAGGTTCTTAATTAACGAATTTTGGGGCAGACTCTTCCTCTCGGAACCGCTACGTCGAACGGATTTAGAAGATACGACATTCGTGGGACTTATATGCTATCGAATCTTTTACAGGAATTGACTTTGGCGAAGGAAAATGGTAGAGAGCAAATTATCTTGGACGAATCTCGCCTCAATGAGAATCCTGTCAATCGCCTCTCAAGATTGATACAAGGCTCGTTCTGGGATGGCCTGACTCGTAGAATCGATGGCTCGGTGATTGAGATTGCTGGGCGTGATCCTAAGGATTGGACCGATGATCCCCGTCCGCGTATCTACATACCACGAGGTGCACCTGAGCAGCATGCATACTATACCAAAGTGGCGACTGATAGACCTGAAGTGCGTCTAGATGTTTGTTGGCTACCTGAGAAAATTACACCAGAAGTTGTTCGTGATATGAATTCCAAGCCTGGTCTTTTAGCTGTTGCCATGGAGGAAGTTATAGATCCATCAACAGGCGAGAAGACTCTCAAGGGGTTACCATTCGTAGTACCAGGTGGTAGATTCAACGAACTTTATGGATGGGACAGTTATATGGAATCACTCGGTCTAATTGTCAACGACAAGGTACACTTAGCCAAATCGATGGTACAAAACTTCTGCTTTTGCATTGAACATTATGGAAAGATCCTCAACGCCACTAGGTCATACTATTTATGTCGTTCTCAACCACCATTCTTGACAGATATGGCCCTTCGAGTTTTTGACAAGATCAAGCATGAGCCAGGATCATTGGACTTTCTAAAGACGGCCATTCTTGCCGCCATCAAGGAATATCATAGCGTGTGGACGGCGGAACCAAGATATGACCCAGTGACCGGTCTATCGAGATATCGCCCTGAAGGTCTTGGTGTACCTCCAGAGACTGAAGCATCGCATTTCGAACATTTGCTAGCACCTTATGCTAAGAAGCACAACATGTCGTTCAAAGAATTCGTTGATGCTTACAATAATGGAAGAGTCGTGGAAAAGGAATTGGACGATTACTTCCTACACGATCGAGCAGTTCGTGAATCAGGCCATGACACATCCTACCGTTTGGAAAGGGTTTGCGCAGATCTTGCAACAATCGATCTTAATTCTCTTCTTTATAAATATGAAAAGGATATCGCACATACCATTCGTACATTTTTCCAAGACAAGCTTGAGGTTCCAGCCGAGTTTTGCGTGGGCGATATGAGGCCTGGTCAGCTACAAACTTCTTCAATGTGGGATCGAAGAGCCAGAGGTCGTAAGCTGGCCATTGATAAATACCTCTGGAACAAAGAGAAGGGCATGTACTTTGATTATAACACCCTGAAGCAAGAGCAGTGTACATATGAGAGTGCCACCACCTTCTGGGCGATGTGGGCAGGTGTTGCTTCGCCACAACAGGCAGCCAGTCTCGTCACTAACGCTCTTCCTAAGTTTGAAGCTGCTGGAGGTTTACTTTCTGGAACTGAAGAGTCTCGTGGTGCCGTTGGATTAGACCGACCAAATCGTCAATGGGATTACCCATATGGCTGGGCCCCACAGCAAATGCTAGCTTGGACGGGACTATTACGATACAATTATCAGGAAGAGGCCGAGCGACTTGCTTACAAGTGGTTGTTCATGATCACAACAGCGTTTGTTGATTTCAATGGTGTGGTGGTTGAAAAATACGATGTGACCAGAGTGATTGATCCTCACAAGGTTGATGCAGAATATGGCAACCAAGGGTCGGATTTCAAGGGAGTCGCTAAAGAAGGGTAAGTTATACCAATGTATTTGATCAACGGCAAAGTTCTAACAATTTCTAGTTTCGGATGGGTTAATGCCAGTTATGTTTACGGACTTCAAATCATCAATGCACATATGCGACGAACCCTAGGAACACTTACTCCTTGGGAGCAGTACACCAAGGCCATGAACCTTTGAGTATACAAAGACAGGCCATTTAATGCGTTGACGACATTTGCGTTTTTGCTCTATACCCTTTGAGTGCCTCGATAACATTCAAAAGTATTCCCGAGTTCTCGAAATGATGATTGAAACAATCGGGATGGTGAGGATATGCAGTGGGCATTTGCTTTGGGGGACTGGAGACTTTAAAGAAGATGTGTATATGTTAGAAGCAAAATAGCAGATCTGTGCTGCCCTGTAAGAAATTAATATACCGGCAAAATTGCTGATAACATTGTATATCCATTGATTGTTCATTGATGACCTGGTTTTTCTCGGCTTTTCTCCGCATAACTTCCTCTTATTGACAGTATACTCTCGTAATGTTACATGGACGAAAGATATATGACTGAAAACATAAATCCTTCAGAGAATGCCTAGCCTTTCCTTCCTAAATCGCATCCTATAGTCGGGTTACAAAAAGCATGATCGGGAATAATTATCTTTTCGGAACATTACCAAGGCGATAACCGGCGGATCAACCTTTACAAATGAAGGGGTAAGGAAGCCGAGGCATTTATTGGACCTCTAAAAAATTGATCCCCTCCTCCGCGTTGGACGACCTACCCCTCGGCAGAACTATTAACCCTTGTGAGATCTGGGGTTATCGTATCTATTTTGGAATTTTCGAGGGTCTTCACATGTTTACGATAACATCGAGTTCTGTGTGTGTGTGGAAACATATGTTAAGTGATAGCTGAGATGTAACTCTCCAAGAGCATGTCTTACATGATTCTTACGTCTGGGCACTGGGCAGTCTGACCGTATGAGGGATATTTTGATGATGAGATTGGAGATTTGGATGTATGAAATTAATGGTAAATGGTAAAGTAGATGAGTGATGCTATAGTAGGTAAGAAGCACACGACTCAGAATTGCAGAATTGATATCTAAGGACCAGCAAATAGATTCACAACTCTCCATCTCACACTCCAACCACCACCCATCTATCCATGATTCCGCATTCATCATAACAAAAAGTTAACCGCAAGATGTTACACTAAAACGCATCAGATCTAGAAAGCCAAGCTCACTAAAATGGTAACTCTGCTTTCACCAGTTTTCGGGAATGTATCCAATCACGGCATTCCTGAAGCTCTCCCTTTGATCCGAGCAACCAACCATATGCTTTGCGTATTGATGGCAAAGGATTCCTTGATGGTCCGAGGATACAAACGATTATGAATGAGTCTTGTCATGAGCTTGCGATGTAGGAAGTTAGTTCGGACCTTGGGCCGGGTAGGTTCCTAGGAGGAGGGGAATATATAGCTATATACCTTGGAACTCTCTGTTTCTGTATTTTCTTTCGATGCTGTGTTTGACATTGTTTACTTTATAACTCTTGGAATTTCAAAGATTGATCGCTAGTTCAATACTCTACATTCCTAAAGAACATAGGATTCTTCACTTCTGACATTCGAACTGAACGTCAATTCTTCAGAGCTTGAAAGAAGTTACTCGCAAAAGAGACTTATTTCTTGTTTTATATACCCTATATCCATACATACACATACAAGATGGCTTCTGCCAACAGAATGGCCGGTACTTCTGTAGATCCAGAACAAGAAGAGAGGATCTTTCTAGAAGAAGTTGCTGCTGTTGAGCAATGGTGGGCAGATGAGAGATGGAGATATACCAAGAGAGCTTTTACTGCAGAGCAGATTGTAGCAAAGAGGGGAAATTTAAAGATTGAATATCCAAGTAATGCACAATCGAAAAAGCTTTGGAAGATCTTGGAAGGAAGATTCAAGGTATGCATTCCTCATCTATCTTGATGACAATGGCAGATAGGTACTAATGTCATGAAAAACAGAACAAAGATGCTTCATATACATATGGTTGCTTGGAACCTACCATGTTGACTCAAATGGCAAAGTTCCTGGATACAGTCTATGTTTCTGGATGGCAATCATCATCTACTGCATCTGCTTCTGATGAACCTGGTCCAGATCTCGCAGATTATCCATATGTAAGTCCACCTCCTTCCTCGCTTGCCTCCAATTCATTAACATTTTCTAGACCACAGTTCCCAACAAAGTATCACATCTCTTCATGGCCCAACTCTTCCATGACCGCAAACAACGTGAAGAACGGGTAATGACCGCGTCGAAAGCCGATAGAGCTAAACTCCAAAACATCGATTATCTTCGTCCCATTATCGCAGATGCTGATACTGGTCATGGTGGTCTCACTGCCGTTATGAAATTAACAAAATTGTTCATAGAGAAGGGAGCTGCGGGTATTCACATTGAGGATCAAGCTCCTGGTACCAAGAAATGTGGACATATGGCTGGAAAGGTCCTCGTTCCTATTAGTGAACATATCAATCGTTTGGTTGCTATTCGTGCTCAGGCTGATATTATGGGTATGTCAAAATCTATACTCCCTTTGATAAGATGAAGAGTACAAACTAATATATCACACAGGCTCTGACCTCCTTGCTATTGCCCGTACAGACGCCGAAGCTGCTACTTTAATCACCACAACTATCGATCCCCGAGACCATGCTTATATTCTAGGCTCCACAAACCCCAATCTCCAACCTCTTAACGATTTAATGATAGCCGGTGAGCGTGCCGGTAAGACTGGTGCAGAACTCCAAGCCATCGAAGATACATGGACCGCTCAAGCCGATCTCAAACTCTTCAATGACGCCGTCATCGCCACCATAAAATCCAACCCTAACACCAAATCCGACGATCTCATTTCCCGCTTCCTAAGCGAAGTTAAAGAAAAGAGTAATTCCGAAGCCCGAGCCCTTGCCAAAACCATCACCGGCGTTGACATTCACTGGGACTGGGATGCTCCTCGCACACGAGAAGGCTACTATCGACTTCAAGGTGGATGCGGCTGTGCCATAAACCGGGCCATCGCATACGCCCCCTATGCCGACGCCATCTGGATGGAATCCAAACTCCCAGACTACAAACAAGCCGAGGAATTCGCCTCGGGCGTGCACGCCGTATATCCCGATCAAAAACTCGCATACAATCTCTCTCCTTCTTTTAACTGGAAATCCGCTATGCCTAGAGCAGAACAGGAAACGTACATTCAGCGTCTTTCCAAACTCGGCTATTGTTGGCAATTCATCACACTCGCCGGTTTACATACCACGGCGTTGATTAGTCATCGCTTCGCTGAGGCGTATAGTAAACAGGGCATGCGCGCCTACGGAGAGTTGGTGCAAGAACCGGAAATGGATCTCGGTGTCGATGTGGTGAAGCATCAGAAATGGTCCGGGGCAAATTATGCAGATGAATTGTTGAAGATGGTCACCGGCGGTGTGAGTAGTACGAGTGCGATGGGTAAGGGGGTTACGGAGGATCAGTTTCATTAGGGGGAGGAGAGGAGTGGAGTGATGTGATTTGATGTGATGTGAAGTAGGCTTTCTTTATTTTTCTGGGTTGGGATTGGGATTGAATGGCTATTTATAGGGTGTTACAGGATAGGATGGATCACTCGTTGAAGGAAAATAATACACATTCGGATACATTTGATCCCCCCCTCCCTTCTAATTATCCTCACCGTGAAAAGTAATATAATACACTTACTGGCATACCCTTCTACAACTTATCATATACATACATAGGTATTCATCACTAACAATATACAACAAACAACATCTCAAAATTCTTCAAAACTCTCGAACCCGCACTCCCATCTCTTCTTTTCTCCTCATATCCCCAGCTCACCGGGACTAGAAGAACCCGCGAAGTGGTAAACTTCTCATACCTACCTATCTATATCTAGGTATGCCTTCCACTCAGAGTCAGAATTAAAATTAGAATTGTAGTTCTGATATGATATAGTGTGGTACAATGTGATATAATACAAGCCTACGTAACAAACAATACAACAATACAATATCAACCATATAAACATGAACAAATACCTCCAGCTACCTACTTATGATTCGACGTATACCAGTATATATTAATTATAATCAATCTACTCGAGCTTTCCAACTACAATATGTATATCAATTATCTATTCAACTTCTCGAAATACTCGGTATTTATTATGAGGTTATATTATCTCAATATAACATTCCTTCTGATCAGACAAGATAAGCGTAATCAAATTTTATTTCCTTTTTAACTATTCATATCTTGATCTTGCCTACTACCTACCTAGATAAAGGTTATATTTGATGGAAAAATTATTGTGATATAACATCATATGATAATGCACTTTGATATGATGTGACGGTTAGGAATCACAATGCTACTTCCATGTATATACCTAAGCTCATTGAATTTCGTTACGATTTTTTACTCTGTACACATGGCAATCAATCATCATTTACAACGAGACGATAGACGAATTTAGCAAAGAAAAGATATAAACATCTGATTCACTATGTGCTCTCTACCTGATCCTAGCTAGCTACCCTATTCTTATTACGTAGCAACACCGCAATCCATTAATTATCATTCCATCCCATTCATTCATTCCTTTCCACCACTCAAAAACATCTTCTTGAAATCCGCATTACTTTTTGGTTTTGCATTAGTATCCGAACCTGGATCTGGTGCCGGCACTGGCGCTGGCTTTTTCCCGCCCGAAAATCCCAATCCTCTTTTTTGTCCCAATCCACCCCTTCCCCCGCCTGGTCTCCTGATCGGTACACTGGGTTGCATAAAATTACTCGTGCTTGTCCCTGCTCCTATTCCTGTACTCGTACCCGCTTTCTCCTTCTCCTTCTTTCCATTTTGTCCAATCACAATGCGATCACATTTAACCTCACTCGACTGCGCGAAAAGATCTTTCATTCCTCCTGTTCTCAATCTGCGACCTGGTGCTATCTCGTGATTTTCAAGACCGAGAGATGCTTTACCTGCAGAATTGACATCCTCGAACTCGACAATTGCACCTTGATGGTCTGGACGAAGTACGACTTTGATGATATTTCCAAATGGCTCTGCAATTGCACGGATTCTTGCATCATTCACCGTATCAGGGACATTGAGCAAGGT